TTCTACTGGCCCTAAAGTCTCCATGATCAGACGCTTGTGGATGAGTATGGTACCTCAAAACAATCCACTGCGGCTTAGTAGATAAGCGGATCTTGAATTCTAGCATATATTTGGAAATGACATTCTACGGTTCAACGCCGTCGATGAAGTGATGGCATTTTGAAATTAACCCCTAACGTATTTCGGTAATACAAGAACCGTTGTACCGGACAAAGTATTAATGCGGATAAAATTCACAATATGAATAATATGAATGCGAATATGAATAATGCGTTTATTCGCGTGAATAAAAATTCATATATTCATATTCCTGCAGTGCGAATATGAATATGCTGTATATTCGCATTCATTTATTCCTTTCGGAGCCCTAGCGATCACTCGATGCCAAGCCCTTTCCGAAACCACTCAAATCTTTCCCGAGTCAGGGGTTTGGTGAAACCATCAGCAATTTCTGTGGTTGGGACATAATTGAGCTGTACTGATCCGCTGTCCTGGACCTCTCCCTGCCACTTGCGTTGGATTTCCATATGTTTTGTGCGGGAGTGGTATTGTGGGTTTGAGGAGAGAGCGATGGCACCTTGGTTATCACCGCAGATGATCGTGGCGGTTGTTCCTTGGTTCATATTCAATTCATTGAGAAGTCGTCTCAGCCAGACTGTTTCTTTGGTGGCTTGTGTCTGCCCCAGAAATTCGGCTTCGCACGTTGAGAGAGCAACGACGCCCTGGCGTTTCGATTGCCAACTGATGGCCCCACTTCCAATATTGAAGAGATACCCAGCTGTGGATCGTCTCGTGTCACGACATTCTCCCCAATCTGCATCTGTGAAGCCTTTCAGTTTCTGAGGCTGACCCTTGTACGCGAGTCTGAGGCTCTTGGTTCCTTTGAGGTACCGTAGGATGCGTTGAGCGAGTTTTATGTGTTGGGGCCCAGGATTTGCCAGAGACCTACTCGCCACAGAGACTGCGTACGCGATGTCCCCCCTGGCTCCAAGCATAATGTACATCAGAGATCCGACCATGCGTTGGTCAGAGGTCCTCTGATCTGGAGGGCACGTGTAGTCTGGACTGTTCTCTGGAAGCGGTGAGGTTTCTATCGGCGTGCCGATGGGAGCGCAGTTGCCAATATCAAATTGATGAGCAACCTTGTCAATGTATGCTTCTTGACTGAGGGACAGTTTCCTGTTTTGGCGGTCTCGCTGGATGGATATCCCAAGGTAGTAGCTGCATGGGCCCAGATCTGTCATCTGAAAAACGGTTCCTTAGGCTCCGCTTGATCTTCTTGATCTCTGCGATACTCGGACCCACGATCAGGAGATCATCAACATACACCGCGATGTACATATTGCTCCGAACGAAGATACCAAGATCGGCGGTGATTGGCTCGAAGCCAAGATTGCGCAGGAAGTTCGTGAGGGTCTGGTACCAGATGCGAGGAGCCTGCTTTAATCCATAGAGGGCTTTTCGAAGCTTGCAGACCCTTGGGGTGCCATCCATCATGTGGTGGGCTGTTCGACGTAGATCTCGTGGTCGATATCTCCGTACAAGAATGCGGTTTTGACATCCATTTGTTCAATCTCCAAGTCCAGGGCCGCTCCGATGGCGAAGAGAGCCTTGTAGCTCATTGGCTTGACAACCGATGCGAAAGTTTCATCATAGTCAATTCCTTCTTCTTGTGTGAATTCTCTCACTACCCATCGGCTTTTGTGGCGGATGATTTCGCCATGCGGCCCGCGCTTGAGTTTGAAGACCCATTTACCGCTGAGCACCCGCCGATCTTTGGGAGGATCCACAAGCTCCCACGTGTGATTTTGGTGGAGTGAATTCACTTGCCTCAAGCATGGCTCTTTCCCAATCCACCCAGCTTGCGTCGTTTTTTGCTTGGCTCAGAGTTTTGGGTTCAAATGGTTCCGTCTCCTTTGCAGCCATGGCCAAGAAGGTTGGAATGACGTTTTCTTCAGGTACGTTCAAGAGCGCAAGCTCTTCGTCCCCATCGGGATTGTCCAATGTAGCCTCCGAAGCCCGAAGTTTTAGTTCAGGGTGGTGATGTAATGTTCTTTGTTGAACTTCATGGACCGGCCGATGGAGCTCTGAATATCGTTCCCGTTCTAAAATTGGCCCTCGTTGGTGTTGCTGGTCGCCACCGGATGGTGAATCAATCCCAAGGACAGAATCCTGATAATCAGGTAATAGTGGCCCGAGGGTGTTCCCTCTCCGTATGGACGATAAGGTTATGTCTCCTTGAGCATCAACCGCGTCGCCCTGTTGCTGGTCGCCACCGGGTGGCGATTCAATCCCAAGGACGGAATCCTGATAAGCAGGTGATAGAGGTCCGAAGGTGTTCTCACTCCGTGTGCGCGACAAGGTCCTGTCTCCCTGTACAGCAACAGCTGGCTGCGAGTCATCGTCACTCGTTTGGGACAACGCTTGAGTTTGCGAGTTATCGTCACTCGGCTGGGTAAGCACTCGCGAGTTATCATCACTCCGAGGCAGTGTGTGCGAGATATCGTTTCTCGACTTAGGTAGGGCCCGCTCTGGGGGAACCATCGACAATTGGCGCCCCGAGGCAGGCACGGATGCTTGCCGTATTCCTACCGACGGTTGGTTTATTAGTCCCACCGTCCCACTCCCCCTGCGACAGCAGCCGTTGCCTCAGGTGAGCCGTCTTGTCTGGCTCCCACATCTTGTAAAGTCTGTGTGGAGGGAGTTGTAAGGACTTCTTGAAATTCAGCGTTTGGTGTTCCAACGATTCTCCCGTCTCCCAGGAGGATACGGTAGTTGGTATTTCCCTCATAGCCCAGCAAAATACATGGCCTTGTTCGTGGATCCGTGAGCTTCTTTCTTTGCTTTGGCGGAATCAAGTATTCTCCTTTTGATCCGATGACTCTTAGTCTTGAGAGGTCAGGTCTGTCGCCGTACCACGCTTGGTACGGAGTCATGTTGAGCTTCGATGACGGCGACCGATTCGAGAGGAAAGCTGCAGTTCGAGCAATTTCCGGCCAGAACTTAGATATCCGGTCCAGACGTATTCGTTTGCATTTTCGGTCGGGGCGCTCGTTGTGGTCGAGGAAGAACCGCAGTGATTCTATGACGAAGTGTTGTCTTCGCGGTATCGGGAAACTCTCGATCCAGCCCGTGAAGTCGTCAACGATGGTTAGCCAGTAACGGCTGCCATCTAGGCCGTCATCAAATGGCCCTGCGACGTCAATATGGAGGAGGTCCATTGTGTGTTCTCCTCTCCTGCTGACTCTTGATTTTCTGTGAGACCTTTCGATCATTCGCCCCTGCAGACAGGGATTGCATGGATGACGTGCCTCCATGTCCCGCACGCCATGAGCTTGCTGCTTGAGTCGCCGAAGGTTTGCATCACTCATATGAGCAAGCCGGCTGTGCCACAGAGACATTTGTGGGCTAACATGGTAAGAGGCGAAAGTCAGACTTGCCCACAGATGGAGTGCGTAGACTCCATGATATTCACTGGCAGTAAACAGATTCTTTCCGTTTGACTTGTTGCGAAGGATAGCATCCCGGCTTGAGAATTCGACTTTTGCCCCTCGTTGGAGAAGCTGGAGCACCGATATGAGATTGGCATGTGCAGATGGAACATACAGGACGTTGTCAAGCACTAGCCATTTCTTTCTGCCGCGTACATTGCACAGGATATTTACTGTTCCCACGCCGGAGGGAGCTGGAGGCGCTATTGCAAACATGTTGAGCGCATCCACTATCCACGATCCACGCGTCACGGACAGAGGGGGTCTTTATCGCCATCATAATGGGAACATGGTCAAACAGGGTGAGATTGCCCTCGATATCGTTTCCAAATGCTTCGTTGACATCTTTTCCGGAGACTTTCGTCGCCATGAAGGTTGGTTTCTTCGGGTCTTTTGGGCCACTCCCATCGTCGTCCTCGTCGTCCGTCAAGGTCCGCCTCTTCGACTGTCCGCGTGCGCCTATGTGCATTCTGCCTGGTCTTGGCTTCAGTCCGTCTCCGTCCTTCTTTTGGACGTTCAGTCTCGGGTTCTTGGTGAAACATTCGGCGTCGATGTGATAAGGTTTTCGGCAGAAGGAGCAATATGGGACGTTATCGATCTCGATTCGACAAGTAGCTCCGTCCGGCGACGGGATGAGTTTCTTGTCACCTGGCCCACGGACTAGGGCAAGAGCAGGAAGTGCTTGCGACTCCATTGCTTGTTTGCCCAATTGCCCTTTTCTATGCTCTTCCTCAATGGCCTTATTCTCGATATAGTCAAATGTAGGTGCTGCTTTGATAATACTCCCATTTGCCTCTCTTTCGTTGACAAGGTCCATTTGTCGGAAGATATGATCGCGGAAGCTCTCGTACTCGGGGCCAAGTGCATGAACAATCGAAGTGCATGAACAAAGAGAATTGTTCGCTCAATTTCGGAGGTCACGCAATCAGGGTCAAGAAGGAGTTTTTCAGCATGAATATTCCTGATCTCTACCCCCAGCGCTTGGGTGCTCCCACACTTGTCTCTTGTGAGGGTCATGTATCGTCGTTGGAGGCTAACATACGTGCCGGAGCCTTCCGGTTTGAAGTTGTCCTGGACTGCTTTAAGCAGTGCTTGAACTCGAGGTATCTCAAAGGCATTGATTCTTTGCGCCGCGTTGTGTGTCAACTTTGCCGTAATCATCGCAGAATAGAACTTTTGGCGGTGAATCCATTGCCGTGCTGCTTCTTCTTCTATCGGTGGAGTCGCTCCATCGTCGGCAACCGCAGATATCCGAATGAACTCATTGACCTTCTGATTCCACCGAAACCAGTCGCTGGCATTGTCTAATGTTGGAATTCCGTTATAGAACGTATTGATTCCGAATTGCTCGAACTTTGCGATTTCAGTCATGTCGGCAGAGGATGCTCCTCGGAGCTGAAGAATTCAGAGCTAGATATGTCGTTGGGCCGATCAGAGGTAACCGGGCCACTATTTGATGACCGAGGAGAGCGCGCCTCCAAGCCGAAGAGTTCAAGGCTTGACGCGGCACTAGCAAGGCTTGAGATAATGGAAACGCTTCGATCTGATGAGCTTGGCGTAGGCATCCGAGATGGAGGAGTGTAGTCGCTGTCTGGGATCCCCTGTCGATTGAGAGAGTACTTACGATCTAAAGAAGTGGGGGAAACGGCGTCGGTCAACTAGATATTGCGGCTTTCTTGGAGGGAAGTTTGAGGGTCTGTTTGGCCGGAGTTCGTAGCGACTCGAGTTGCACTCGTTGGAAATGAATGGCTTGTCTCTATCCACGGGACTTTGAGGGGTCGATGCCAAAGCCTCAATACTGTTTTCTGATCGACTGAGATTATCCGAGATGGAATGAGTTTTGGAGGCACTTGAGAAGCCTTTCAGCGAGTTGCGAGGATCGGTGATTGGGATAGTGGCGTTCGACGCTCGGCGTATGCGGTCTTCGGTAGACTGGTGCCAGTAGGCTCCTCGGAGTGCGCTCGGAGAAAGTGATGGGAAGTATGACTTTTGGATTTGCTTGAAGTGCCAGTGGCAAGTGTGTCGGAGGTACGAGAGAATCTTCAGCTCCTCGTCTGTCCAAGAGTGTCTCTTTTGTAGTGTTTTTCGCATTTTACCTTCCGAAATGGCCTTGTGGCTGGTGACTCCAAGAAGATAGATACCGAGCTTGTTGAAAATGGTGATATGTCTCAGCAGTAGATAACGTTTGCAGTACCTCGTGGCAGTCCATAGTGTAACCGTAGCAATCATGGCACACGAGCGGAGAAATCCCTAAGGCTTGCTGCAAACGGCGACATGTCCCGGCTATGGAGGCAACCTTGCGATACTGCGTGTCCTTGTCACAGTAGCAATGATAGCATGCTGTCTGTAGCTCTTCAATGAAAATAATTTCCTCCAAATTATTGCTTCGAGAGAGGGTTGAGCAATATGACATCGTATTTTTCATCAAGTTACTGAGAATATCTGATCAGTTTCTGAAGTTCATGGAGTTGGTCTCTTGACAGAGAAGCTTAGCTGTAATCATAGGCAAGGGATTTTTGGTATTTAGATGCCTGCATGCCCAAAGGTAAAGCCACCCGGGCTCATAACCTGTTGAGATAGGTAGTTGTAATATTCTTGTTAGGGTTATTATCAAAAGTGGGAAACCCGTCTATTTAAATGTGCATCGCTAGTCTTGCCACACAAGCTTTGACCACCGTGATACTCAACAAACACCTTCATCAACGCTCATGAACACTTATCAACGCTCATCAACGCTCATCAACGCTCATCAACGCTCATCAACGCTCATCAACGCTCATCAACGCTCATCAACGCTCATCAACGCTCATCAACGCTCATCAATGCTCATCAACACATCCACGATGCACCCAAACACTCAAGTCTCTATTTGCTCTCCGCTCTGATGGCAGATGCAGTCTATTACTGCGGATGGACTAGCATACAGTAAACTATCAAGGCAGGAGGGTTGGGAATACGGCGCTTGATAGTGAAGAAGATTTAGTCGTGAATTTACGATTCTGGTGATTGATAGGCATCTATCTAGGGCTCACTCTATCTCTCGGATGATGATACTTCGGGATACGAAACACATCATCAAGATGTTGCGCAGATCTTTGCTTCTTCGAGTACTCTTGAATACTCGAATACTGGTCCCTAGCACCGCGAAGAGGTGCCTGCACGGGCTAGAGGAACTTGGTTTCGCAGATGTCCCTGCGGAGACTCTTGTTGTCGCAGATGTCCCTGCGGAGACTCTTGGTTTCGCAGATGTCCCTGCGGAGACTCTTGTTGTCGCAGATGTCCCTGCGGAGACTCTTGGTGTCGCAGATGTCCCTGCGGAGACTCTTGGTGTCGCAGATGTCCCTGCGAGGCGCTTTGTTGACGCAGGACCTAGGCTGCGGAGAACTTGGTAATGCAGCGGTCTCCTGCAGAGAACTTGTTAACGCAGCGGTCTCCTGCGGGTCTCACTTGTCATCACAGCGCCCCCCTGCGAGGATTGTTGTTGACGCAGACCTATCCTGCGAAGCACCTTTTTACGCTCGCGGGGCTCAGGGCAGCGAGGGAGCACATTTTTACACTCGCGGGGCTCAGGGCAACGAGGGAGCACATTTTTACACTCGCGGGGCTCAGGGCAACGAGGGAGCACACTCTTACACTCGCGGGGCTCATGGCAGCGAGGGAGCACAGTCTTACATCGCTGGGCTCGTGGCAGCGACAGCCGTGGTCACGGAAGCTCTCAAGCCCGCAGGCAAGAGAGGGACACTATGATGCATCAAAGTATGAGGACCAAAGTGTGAGGATTGAAGTCCTGAGAATTTTGGGCTGGGAATCCGCCCCCTTTTATAATTTTTCGGTCAAGTCTCTACCAAGGAACCATTGCGCCAAGGGTAGAGAGAATCACTGTCCTTTGGTTGGCGTTGAAGCAATTTGAACGACGTTGAAACGGTATTTGGAGACTTTGTGGCCTACCGACACAAGTTTCGACCTGGGATCATTTTTCTCAAATCTTGCGTTGAGTATGGTGAACCACTTTCATCAACTGTTGAAAGGAAGCAACGCCGCAAAAATGTGATTCCTACATATTGTTGAGTTTGCAATTAAATCGTTCAACGCGGTGGCACTCTACATCTGCCTGTTTTAGCCACGGTCACCGTCTCTTCCGTGAGGGTTTAAGTGCTTCAACAGATGCCAAAATAATAGGTTGGAAAATTTCTGGCTGACAGAAACGCTGGACTGTACCTGCGGCTGGCTGGAGGATCCTTTGGTCTCGCTCGAATCAATCCTGTTCATCCTTGGCCCCGCGCCGCTGAATGTTGTTTCTTTCCTGTCTACTCGCAGCCAGCTAATGTTGCTTTTACTAGAATCTCTACTCTCTGGCCGCACAGATATTGACATACTCTCAAGCTCAGGATGAGGATTGTTCTTCTTTCGGAGGGCATAACCAAAAGTCCAGAGCTTATTGGAAAGCCTCCATAGGAAACCGAGCCTAGGACAACCATGTAAAATGTGCAACCAGGCCCACGAGCTAGGTTCTCGTGATCGCCACCCCCTCGCGAGATTGCAACGCTACTATCACATTGATGAAACCCTGGATAGAAATAGCACCCCGACGGACCAATCAAACACAATGCGCGAATTTAGACAGACGCAGGTACGGTTCTGCGATGCAGATCCCAGCGACGACCCACGGGACACTAGTTCAAGGAGGTCTATTTATGGCCCGGAGAAGAAGTGAAGGATTTGCAAAGGTCCAGACCGATCCACAAGCCCAAACTTGACGGCCGTCAGTGTCTGATGGAAAAGGAGTTTGTTGCGTAGAGGGTACGGCCGAGGTACGGTCCAGGCGGGTGAGGTATTTGGAATATCGCGCGGAATTCTGGCAACAGAATGGTAGGCTAAATCCCGATCCGTGGTTATGTTTTCCTGGTTCTTGTCACAGGAGAATAATTCTCCTGTCAAGTGGCAAGTTGCTCCTTGTCTATCAGGTCTGTCGAATGTTCTAGAAGCTCTGTCTTCTGTCCTGCATAAAGCTTTCCCGTAGAGATTGTACTCTCTGAATCCGACACAACCCCCTCAATCGTCAGTCCCATATCCCTAGCGGATAGCTTGTGGAAGCTATGCCGATCATGGACAGATCTCATGAGCTTATGTAAAAATATCTCCGGTTTTTGCACTAAAACCGAGGAACCGATTGGCTGCCGGAAATGGGTTGAGGTTGTGGGCCGGCGGCCCCTAAACTTTATCTCAATTACCCTCCACATCTTGATTACGACTGTAGCGAGAGAGAATCTTTCTAGTACACTGTTGGTCTGTTCAATTCCCGGTACATGAGCAGATCGAGACTGTGGTGAATCTGCCCCAATTCTCTGGGCTTCTCTTTTGGGCTGTAGGAATTAATCATGAGCAAACTAGAAAGCAAGCGGGGCAGAAGCTCAGGCTTGAATCTTTCATGACGACCGCATTCTCTCACCGAGCAGGCGATTCCATGGGTCGTCCAGACTAAGCGGTGGAAATGATTTGCGGTTCCGCTGATGATCGTCAGCTGCGATCGTGATTCCACGGTCTCTGTCTAACTAATTTCCTCCTGACTTGGGTGTAGGTGAAAACAAATCGTACGCTTCACCCCAAAGATTACCCTGCTTTCGACCATCGACCCTATCAAATCCAAGCAGACGTATTACCTTGAGCCAACAAGAATGCCGTATTTCCATTTCCCCAGAGTCCCCTTGCTACCATGTCCTGTCTCCCCATGGGAACACTCATAGTATCGTAAATCCTTATATGCTGTCCGTAGTACTTACCGGGCCACATAACACTCCGATGAAATCCTCCTGGTTTTGCATGACAAGGATGAAAATGTGTAGGCGGGCCTGTTGCAAGGGCACCATCATCGTGCTCAAGTCCTTTGACTTTGGGACATCCTCTATATTGTTGTCATTCCAAAGAAGGGCGATTGCTCCTTTCTATACGGAATACATGGAATGATATACGACCACGCTTATATCCTCATGCTGAGGCTTCATTGCGGATCATAGCCTTTGATATAGGAACGTGCACCAGGACTAGTTTATCAAGATAGTTGGCCACTGTTCCTTGGACATCGCAATGTAGCGCTCCAGCCGATGAATGCTGCTAAAGTGCACGCTCTGTTCGCCGGTATCTCAGCTTCCTAGCAGCACAAACACGATGCACATAGCCCCACCTCCTGGATGACGACCGTGTTCTTTTACGCCGGTACGGAATACGGAAGGGGTGCTGGCGTCACGCGGTCTGTGCTGGACCCTAACAGATCATTCTGATTTCTCCTCTAGGCCACAAATTCGAACCTCCTTGATCCACTGTCCCTTGGACAGACGATGAGATTCCAATCGTCGGTCCGCATTCAAGCGCAGTATTTTCGACCACTTAATGAATCATTTCACATCTGTTTATCCCGAGATACACGTCAACAAAACGTCGTATTTCGACATCAGAGATTGGACCGATTGAGTAGATGCCATCTGAATTCAGCTTGCATGAAACTTTCTTCTTCCAAGTTGTACATTGCTTCAATCCGGTGAAGAACGTTCTGAGTGTGTTTCGGCAGCAACAGAAATCAGAAATCGGTTTTTCAGACCTTCGAGGCGCAGTCTTGGCAAATAAAATTGGCGATTGAAGTTCCGTCTTGACTGCGTTCGACGGCACTCTGACTTTGGGAGTCTATCTTCCATGAACATCAATAGACGGCGAAGCTTCTGCACGCTCGAAAGTCCACCGATACAGAGAGAGAACTCAATGACGACGCGGGTCATGTGGAGAAGAGATTCACGATCCTGTGAAAGACCGTGGACACCAGCGTGGCGGATGCTAGAAACCAATCTTTGCCGTTTTCGCATGGTAACAGCGGCTTGACGGCAAGAGTTACTCCGGATTTTGTCCCGATGTCCCCCAAGAATTTGAAAAGCCTGTGTAGCTCTAGTTCCTCTGGGCACGTCCATCCAACCATGAGAGACCCCTCCAAAAGCCATTTGTGAACGAATTAAAATGCATCGAATTCGAGATGTCGCATATGGCTTGGAGGAAGAAGATTCTGTGCCCGGAAAGGGATGCTTGTCATTGGAACTCCGAGAAGTGAGTATAGACCGTGTAGGACTGTTGTTCGAGTCCGTCGATTAGTCGGCGCGCTCCTACATTTTGTAGCTTGGACTTACTGAAGATGATATCTATCTTTCCCCGGTAATATTCAGTCAATTGTTTTACCAATCTGAGAG